ATCAACATATCGAATAAAACGGGTCAAAATCGAATGGAACCCATTATCGAATAACACGGGTCAAAATCGAATCGTTGAACATATCTAATAACATGAGACAAAATGGAATTGATCCAAACTATAATGTGAGAGCAGCAACAACAAGTAACAATAGCAACAATAACAGCAACAGGATTACACATTGAAAACAACAGAAACAGAAACAGCAATAACAAGAACAACATTAACAGCAGCATGAAATCTCTCCATATGCTTCATAATAAAGCAGCTAAATTAATACTCAAGAAAGCACCTTGGTCTTCTTCTTCTGACGCTCTTAAAGAACTAAAGTTGCGGGACTTATCTCAGCGAAAAAAATTACAACGCTGTATACACTGAATTGAAGAATCGTTGTCGGGTTAAAAAACATAAAACATAAAAGCAGAGACCGAAATGGCACACGGGAAGTACGTTATGTAGATGCATGCTGTGACGGTCGACCCGTGGCATCATCCACTGTTTTTAATACGCGTTTGGCATTCTAAACTGACTGCATGGATGGCGCAAATGAATAAATTATAATATAATTATGTCATTTCCCGTGTGCCATTTCGGTAAATATTGAGGTGAATTAGAGGTGAATATTCTACGATATTCACCTCTGAATCTCGGAATATTGGGTCGGCAACAAAATGGCATCAAAAATGGCAGCTACAATTTCCGATGAGGAAATTGAAAAAATGAAAGTAAATGCCATTCCTATCAATACTAAAAAGGCAACGGGAAGTATGGCCTAAATGTTTTGCTAAAAGTTTTGCGTGAATTTGTCACGCAAACTGCAAGTTTCTGTTTGTTTGTCTTTATTGAATTATTGCATATGAAAATAAGTTACACAAGTTGGTATATGCTAAAACAATTATTCGCCTCAGGCTCAGTGARTATGGAGAATATTCACCTCGCCGCTCGAAGACTCGCGTCTCGGTAAATATTCCCCGATATTCACTTCGCCTTCGGCGAATAATTGCTAAATATATCAAATATATATAGATAGATAGATATTTTTACATATACTTTTTATCTCTATTTTATGTATATATATTCTTCATTTTATTTTATTTTATTACATATTGTTTTTGATTTTACTTTGTGTATTTCTTAATGCAGTTTCCTATTGTAAATCACTTGTGTGACATAGGCTTACTGTCGAAAGAAATGTATAAAATTTATAAATTCTTCAGTGACGACGAAAGTAACAGCAATAATCTTTTGAGATATAAGAAATGCATTTACCAGTAAGGGGAGATGCACACCCTGACCCTGATAATTATCTTACATGCAATAGGCCTAGATTCCATTTGTATCCCACATACGGCCTGTATTGACAAGAAGGTGACCCCAGCCTGGGAGAGCAATACCCTTTGTTTTGACTTTATTCAAGTGACACCAAAAGCAAACAAGACTAACACCTTCGAGTGGAGCGTTACTGCCATGTTTTATGTACACAGGCTTTCTCTACAGGCTTTCTCTCTGTGCCATAATGTAATTTTAGACAATTTTAGATTGTTGAGCAGGCCATTTGAACGGAAACATTGCAGGATAAGTGTAAAGATTTGACAGGCCGTATTCAAAACTGTAAAAAAAAAACCAGTGTAGCCAACTAGCGACCGGTGGGATTTAAGGTTATAAGCCACCCGTATTTTGTGAAGATCTCTTTAATCTCGTAGACTCTAGCTGCTTTTAGTAGAGATGTCATGTTGATTCATAATTTAGCCGGCACGGTATTTTTATTGAAATTGTGCTGTAACATGAGAAGGGAAAAGAGTATAAGTGACAACCACATGACGACCGTTTCCTGTACCGAGTTCTGTAGCGGAATAATTTGACGGGTAAAAATTTGGCAGGATCGATCGATATGGTGGCCGTGCGCCGTGTAAAGTTTGTGGTAGCCATCATCGTCGTTTTTGTAGTKTTTATAGGACTTTATCAACTAGAAAAACGACAACACACTTTATGGAACACCGGGTATGTACTCATCAGTCTTATATGTTTTTCCAGGGATGTTTTCGTATCATTAAAATCCATATTCAAAACTTTGTTGGGATATTTCAGCCATACGATTCTTTCATGTTTTGTGATCAAAATGAGTCTAGAATATCAGCTGTTTATCAGGAATATGTCTCTTACACAAGGACCGTGTTTGTTCAGAAAGTTAATTATTCTGGGGGAGAAATTAATTTCACTTCGAGCACAAAACTTGTCATTCAAGAATGTAGAACGTGCTCACATTGTTTGAATGGTTGTTGCCGACAAGTAGGAGTTGTGTTTCAGCCGGTTTTACCGGGAGACCCAAACATGTGAAAAAATACTTTAACCTCCGACCACCAAAGGGGAAACTCAAGTCTTTCATTGCTATTTACCATCCCTATAACACTCTTATCGTAGTTACCAAGATACCAAGATATGATGAGGTCCACACTAAACAATTTATAATCCCTTTTTCCCCCAATTTATTTAGTTTGCATGTCATGCTTATCTTGGGATTTTTCATAGTCCTCAGTGTAACTCATATTCTCTTGTCTCAAATTAATTTTCTACGAAAAAGCGGGTGTCTAACTTTAAACTAAATTCTAATTGGTTGATGACCTAGGGGTTTTCTTAATTTAAGGTCGTGCGACAGCTGAATTTGTGTAATAGTTTACTGATATATACTTTAGAATATATACAAAACACAGAAGAATTCTGATTGACAGATAGAGTGCATTCAGTCAAACTGTTGAATACTTAGATAAATGTATTTAACTTACATTTATCTAGTATTCAACAGTTTGACTGAATGCACTCTATCTGCCAATCAGAATTCTTCTAGCTAACTATCTAACTTATATTAGATAGCTATTTAGTTGACGTCAACTAAAATAGTGAAAGCGTACCAAATAACGGTCATGCTAATCCGGGGGGTTGTTTTACCAGAGAATGAGTGAATAGACATTCATTTGTATCATCGTTTCTCCCCCTGATCTCAATAGCTGTTTACTTGTAGTTTCAAATTTATGCGAGGTCAGCTACTTATCTAATTTAGGTGACGTCAACTATTCAACAGTTTGACTGAATGCACTCTAGCATAGCTGTTTTACTTAAATTAAGGCCGTGCGATAGCGGAGTTTGTTTTTTTGTTGGGTATTGTACCTTGAATGTCAGATAATTTCCTAAGAAATAGTTTTTTTGTCTGGTTTCTCTTTCTATATATTTGTACACATGGCATAATCTTGTAACGACTTAGAGTCAATAATTTCCACGGACTAGTTGTGTTTGTATACAGTAAGTTTACAATTCTGATTGGCCAATGACAGCGAGGTTTTTAACCAAAATGATTTGCTGCGGATCCTTTGAATGCGTTCGCCTCTTCCAACTCTTTTTACTTGTGTGCCCCAGATTATTCGTGGGGGAGTAGTCTGCGTTCAGCCGGTATGACTTCTCGAGAGAGACATTATACCGACTGAACGCAGGCTGGGGGGGGGGGGGGGGGGGGGGGGGGGGGGGTGCAATTTCCGAAATTGTCTTTTCGAGTTTGTGGGATTTCTAACGATTTTGAAAACCGTGAAAAGAAAGTTTACCCCCGCCTTGATAACAATTTTCTTACGATTTTTTTTTTTCGATGCAGACTTTTCTCGAATGGCAAATTAAAGATCTCATGGCAGAGTCATAGGCACGTAACTCTAGAAACTCTTCTTCCAAGTGTCACGCCAAAACACACGGTCAATGGTGAGAGAACTACGCAAACTAACTCGCAGATAGTTGTATCCACTGCTTTGAGAACCAAGGTATCAAATGTAAATGCAGAACAAGAGGAAGAAGAGTTACTAAACAACGAAATAGATGACACTTTAGAATGGGTTAAACGAATGGGACACGCGGAACGCAATCAGGACGCAGTGACTGAGTTGCGTGACAGTCGTAGTTTTTTGGGTGAAATATTTCCTACACCAAAAGATGAGCGTGACTCAAATGAAAAGAACTCGGCCAGCGAGGTATTTGACAGTAATCGAGGTCATTCGCTGAATGAAATATCTTCTACGGTAAACGATGTGCATGACAAACGTGGAGAGAATAATTTGCCTGTGAGTAAATCATTTATGAAGGCAACTGTGAAAGCAAAAGAAAGCAAAATGTCTGATATTTCAACAGAAACTGCTTTAAAATCTCTATCAACGACCTTAGCAACTATAGCACAAACAACAACAACAACAACAACAACAACAACAACAACAACATCAGAGGCAGCAACCACAGACCAGTCGTCATTCTTCACTTTGAAAATACAGCCAAATACCCACCAGAAATCGAAAAACATAACAGAAACGAATCCAAAGGGTACTTCCATGTACACGCCTTCGCCCCTACCAAGGGTCAACACCTGTAATCTACCAAAGCTTGACCCATGGGATTCTTCAATCCATCATCTCTTGAAGGACGTCGGGTTCGATCCTAATTGTAAGTCAAGCTACCCGCGTTCCTTGTATGACGTCATGGACAACAGACTCGTCTTAAAAAACAATTCCAGTCTCAGTGGGACTCGATTGAACCACTTTTCGCTAGAAACAATACACAGGACCAAAGATAGTGACAATGATTTCGGCACGAAGAGTGAAGTTTCTCCAATAAATGTATCGACTAATGAGGTATACAAAAGTAGGAAGATGTTAAATTCTGACTTCTTTAGGATACGCTATCAGATAGAAGGAAAAGATAGCGAAACGCATTACTATGCGCGAGTCGTACCACAACAAGATACAATAAAGAAATCAGAAGAGATACGACGAAGTAGTTCATTCTCTAAGAAACGTCTTCCACTTAATGTATTGATTCTAGGATTTGATTCGACATCGAATGCTAACTTCTTACGAAAGATGCCGCACACGACGAACTGGTTACGAACTCAAATGCGCTCTTATTTTATGAAGGGATACTCTATTGTAGGCGACGCTACTACGCCTGCGCTGACAGCCCTCCTCACARGGAACCATGAGTATGATCTACCCGAAGGTCGCCGCGGGTTTGAAGGAAGTGAACCCATAGACAGGTGGCCTTGGATTAGTAAGCTGTACGAGAAACATGGGTATGTGACATTGTATGGTGAAGACGATCCGACAATGAGCACATTTAATCTTCGCCTTGAAGGATTTCTCACGCCTCCATACCAYCACTTCATGCGTCCTTTCTGGTTGGCCATTGAAAGTGAAGGGCTAAGAGACGAACCTGGGATTTGTTCCCGAGATATGTCTTTAGTCAACTACACGATGGAATATCTTCTGAGCTTTTTTGAAGCGTACAAAGAAACCCCAAAGTTTGCCATGGGGTTTATATCCTACTTAACTCATGCTCATCCAAATCACCTCAGTTATGGGGACTATGACGTATTGCATTTGCTTGATAAAATGAAATCTCGAGGATTTCTTGATAACACGTTGCTTGTTATACTTGGTGACCACGGCTCGCGAAATGACGACGTTAGAAGTACGATGCAGGGGAAACTGGAGGAACGGTTGCCATGGTTATCTATCTCGGTTCCTGATTGGTTGGAATCTCGCTACCCTGAACTGGCTGCTGCATTAGCTCATAATGAGAATATCATTAGTTCTCCGTTTGATCTGCATACTACTTTTCGACACATCCTGACCTATCCCGAAATGCCCGATAAAGCGAAGACTTATCGAAGTCTCTTTACTAACATGTCACGTGACCGTACTTGCGAAGACGCAGGTAAGTCTGTCGGTCACAGTTGCACCTTTTATGAGGGGGACGGAATTTTATAGAGGGCCACCGTGTAATTTACCTCTTTTAATAAAGTCTCATAATCATCATCATCAAGCCGCATAGTACGTGGCTCTCAAATGTCTTTCTTCCATTCTAAACCAATTAAAAAGCACAATAACGAATTTCATCCAATCACAACTCTTGAATGCGGAAGCCATTTGAGAGTCAAAAGGAGATAATTAGACCTTATGAATTGCATGAGAATCTCAGACTGTTACTGCGGTTGACTCAGTACTGAATAGGTTTTGCTCACATTGTTCATCATTATTGACAAGCACTGACATTCCTTTTCAGGCATAGATGAACACTGGTGTCCTTGTCTAAAGTTCAAACCAATAGACGTAAACAACCAGGACGTCCAACAAGCTGCTGTTGCCATCGTGCAGCACATAAACAAACATCTCAACAGTACTGATACACTACGCATGTCTTGTCACATGATAAAGCTAACCGCTGTACACAATGCTATGCAGTATGAACCAAACGAGAAAGTACAAAGGTTTTCTTCTACTAACCAAGATAGTGATCGAGAAGTCAGGTACGGGACACGAACACGTGACGACCAACATTTTCTCGTTACTATAGAAACGTCACCGATGGGCGCGCTGTTCGAAGCGACCGTAACGATGGCTGACGATAAGAGTATTGCTGTTAATCCAAATATTAGTCGGATCAATCTCTACGGAAATCAGCCCAACTGTATCGCGAAAAAATATCCGTACTTTAAAAAGTACTGCGTGTGTAAGAAATGAGCTCAAATACTTCATAGACTCTCAGAAGTCTAGCTTGTTTCCATACTGCTCCCCTCTTGTTTGGGCTACCTGTGTTGAACTTCATTGTGTGGAGAACCAAACACTGATGCGCCAACTCCGACAGTTCAAAAAATGGTCCTATCGAGTTCATTTTAGCTGCGAAGCTGCTGGGGCTTCCGATTATTGCTTCGCTGTTTTTTTTGTTTGTTTTTTGTTTGTTTTTTGATTTGGGGGGGGGGGGGGGGGGGGGGGGGGGGGAGGGGATGTTTCCTTTGGAACGAGCGTGACGAGCCACAAATAGCCCAACATGGACGAATCAGAATCATTTGGTAAAATCCAAGGGTTAGGTAATTTAGAATTTATTGGTGCCAATAATTTAGTTATTTTTTTTACAATTTAATATTATTATAAAATGTGTGGTTTTACATATTTCAATGATAAATATTATCGAATCTTATTTATAACAATTTTAACCATTCATGCTTTATACAATTTAAATTTACCATTTTCCATTTATTGGCCGATTCACTGGCCAAACACAAAGCATTCAACCGAGGCGCCTGCACCTTGTAGCCTCGATTGAATGCATGCTATGTGTTTGACCAGATGTCTAAGGCTCAGGTCAAACGTCGAACTTCACATGAGCCGAACCTAATTCAAACAAGGCGGTCTTTTTTGATGTCATTAGGTTCGGCTTATGTGAAGTTCGACGTTTGACTAAGTGTTTTATGAACCGTACTTTGATAGCCAAAATTGTGCAATATCTTATATTAAATAAGTAAATAATAAGACGAATAAATATAAAAGAATTTACTACAAATATTACGAATTATTAAATAATTGTTGCCTTGATATAGACTCTTATCCTTTGGGCGTAATGCTTTTCCACTTCAAATCCTTTTAGAAGTGAAACTGTTGCTTCATTCCATTCCATGTGGTCATTCCCTTGAGTATAATTCCTTTGTTTTCAGATTAACTGGGCCCGGTTGTACGAAGGATGAATAGCGCTATCCAACGGATAAACCTTATCCAGTGAATAAATTTATTGGATAACCGCATCGACTTATCCATTGGATAAGGATTTTTCCATCGGATAGATCTATCCACCCTTCGTACAACTGGGCCCAGTTGATCTGAAAATGAAAGGAATTATACTCAAGGGAATGACACGTGGAGTTAATTGGAGCAACATTATGGTCAAAGTAAAGAGATCAAGTGAGAAGACTAACCTATTTACGATTTTGTGGGTGTCTTACTTTCATTATGAAGTACAGCTCGCCTTTGCTGTCTAGTGACTCGCAGTATTTCATTTTTAATTTCGTCTTCTGCTTTGGTGTAAGCATGCGTTCAATATTTAGTACAATTTTGGCCCACTGAAAAAAGAACACAACAGTATGTGAAAGATTTATCTGCAGTGAAACCAAACATGTAGAAACACTATAGAATCTGAGTTTGGAAGCTTTGAAATCAAAAACAAAACGTTGCTACTGGTGAAGATAAAGATGATGATGAAGTTGAGCATCATGATGATGATGATGCAATAAAACAATGATGAACGTGAATAATGATGAGGTCGACGACGACGATGATCATGAAAACGATGAAGATAGATAATGATGATGATGATGAAAACGATTAAGATAGATAATGATGATGATGATGAAGATGATGAAAACGATGAAGTTAGATAATCATGATGATGATGAAGATGATGAAAACGATGAAGATAGCGAATGATGATGAGGACAAAGACGATGATGTCAATTAGTGGTAATGGAGTTGGAATACTGTTAATTAGAAAATACAGTTTTTCCAAAGACACAATTTCTGAACACACACCTGTCGTGTCCATTCCTTCTCGGTCTCTGCTACCGCCAAGTAAGTGTTACCCATCATCGCGATAAGCATGTTAACGATCAATAAAGCTCCAAATACCATGAAAGTAAAAAACATGATCTACAAGTAAATGGAAAAACAACAGTTACTCGGTCCTCCATAGCCGGTTATACAGACGTAGTTTATTACTTAACCATACTTACCAGACCGATGATCTTGAAGGGTGAATTGGTTTCCATTAGCTGGCTGTGAAGATCCTGATAAATAATAAGAAACATTCAACCATTTTCTACCCAGCAACGATTAAAGGACTGAATCTAGTATTAGAGTAAGGGACATAGAGGATATCCAATTTTAAAATGAGATGCCACTTCTATTCTCCCATACTGATTTTGGTTCCTTTCCTGGGAAAGGGCGAGGCACACGTAGGTACAAAGCATACCCCCCTTCCTACCTAGATACGCCCCTGAGAGACGTTCCTTATTAAACTTACCCCAAATTCTCCAAGCGACATGACGATTAAACCAAGTCCTGATGAGAACCAACGAGAAAACAAGTTCTCCTTCACAGTTGAGTCTGAATACCCAAGCATGACCAAGAACATGGCTGGAAAGAAATGTGGATTGTGATTACAAGATAGTTTTATAATTTATACACACTGTTTTTTAAGTCAGGGCACAGCTCACTCATAGATGGACCCCTGAGACAACTTCTGGGCTAATCAAAGTCAGGGCGCGGCTCACCTTCTAATCGAATTAAAATTGGCATTTGCCAGAACTGAACACTTTTACTTACCCTGTGAAAATCCTATGACAAAAATCATATAAATGATAAAGAAAATGATGAAATCTCTTTTGAGCATCTGGTAAATCATCACCACATAGGGTCCAGTGAGAGAGAACCCCCTGAAAAACACACAAAACGTAACAATATTGATGGTTTTCACAGCCGCCATGTTGGATGAACTTAACAAAAGATTCTTCATTAGTGTCTTTTGTCATGTCATCCAACATGGCAGCCGTGTCTTTTGTTATTTCATTCTCTTGGAAATTTCATTCTCTTGGGAATGATTGAAAGCCAGCAATAGTTTACTTAGTTTTTGCCCATGGATGTCATTGATCAGTCAGTGTCATAATTAACGTTCCCCATTCATATGAAAAAACCCGCTCTTTTCTATTACATATGCAGTCACGTGGCAATAGTGTGACAGTTGGGTCGAGCACGCGCGATTTGGCGTGAAAATTCCCGCCAAAATCTAGAGGAGCCCAATCAATATAAGCCGTGAAAAGAACGAATTATCACGAAGGAATTTTCTGTTATCTTGTCCCAGCATGCCGTGAAAAATATAAAATTTCTCCAACATTTTCATTGACTTTTTAACTTTTCTTGTAAAAATCATACGTACATTGAAAACCTTAATTTTAGGGGGTGGGGAAGGCGTATATGCTCCCTACCTCCCCTCCCCTCCCTCCCTACTCCACTGTAGACACATACTTGCAAAACATCAAGGCATAAGGCCATGCCAAAACCAGAGAAATGACTGTAAAGTGATCTTCCAAGGCAACAAGGCACATGAAGCGTGATATCAGACAACACGGGACAATAGCACAGGACAAGGCAAACAGGCCTCGGATCGGGTTATTGACCTAATAAAGCAAATGACAAAGATAGATCAGTACAACCACAGGAAGATCAAGAAAATAAAAGAGTTAGAAGAAAATAAAATCCAGGACAATAACCTTCATAAAAATTTTCGTAGAAAGTGTAATGATAATAATTCAATAGGCCGATATGTTTTGCACGCACCTTTGTTTTGCCGTATATAATACGCCATTTGCAGGACATAATCACGGACTTCCTTTATTTAAATAACGTTTGCTGGATTACAAATGTCATATCAAAAACCTTTTGAAATTTTTTTTACATTATAAGATACTCTCTTACTCCGACGAAGGACTAGCGTCCGAAACGTCAGTAAGTTTTTTCATCTTTTCATGGTGCAAAATTTACCCTTTTATCATTACTGTTTCATTAGAAACATCGACGCAGTTCACACTAGTTTTTAGCTAGTTATCTCTTCTGACATGTTTGAAAAGAGCTTACAAGAAATAGCTGTGTCATCTTTCGTATCACTGTAAGTTCACATGGCATTACATGTAATACACATTCATTAAAAAAAAGAATACCACTGTTGGAAAGCAAAATATGGTGGCTTCTCTGCCAACAGTAATCTATTCTATGCTAACCATAAAATATTAGCTCCTATAAGTACTATATAAAGTAATATCAAATAATGTATTTACCAGGCCAAATACAACTGATTTGAATCCTTGCATCACCATTTCAAACACAAGGAGCACAAGAAATGATACTGCCCAAACAGTTGACAGGATTTCAAATGCTAAACGCACCTATAATCACAGAGACATTTTTTTGTAATTTTATCTAACGATCATAAAATACCAACAATATCCATACACATAACTGACATCAGCATGAAACAATATTGCATCAACATCATCACTAACAATCACAATCAACACCATCATCATTGTCAATAACATAAATGCTATCACTAACATCATGAGCATCGTCATTATCATCATCATCATCATCCTCATCATCATCATCATCA